CACTGTCGTTCTCTTCTCTAGAATTTAGATTTGTGTCTTTCAGAAGATATTTTTAATTCTCCACTGCACACGTTACATGTTGGCTCCACGAGGTTTCTGAGCAGGTGATACGGTTGTGTAGTGAGACAAGCTGTTGGTGCCTGGTCCGCAAATCCGATCACCCGAGTCACTGCCAGGGCTGGTTCTGTTGACGAGAGATCTCTTTTCTGCTTTCTTGCATCCCGGTGATTTCCGGCCGGGTGGCAGGCGTTGTGAATTTTACCGTGTCGGGTGCTGCACAATTTTGCATTCCTGAGAGTTTTCTGGCACTTCTACTGGGGCTACAGGTAAGTCACTTACAAACAGCCCGCTCATTCTTCCAGGTCGTGCTTTTAAGCTGTGTTCGGCCGGGTCGGCGCAGCGTTTGTCCAGGGCTGGTGCCTCCTCGGTGTCTCCTCCGTGACGGCTTGTTCCCGGAGGGAGGGTGACCCGAGGCGGTTTTGGTTCCTCCATAGCCACTAGGAGCAAAACTGTGGACGCGTTAACTTCTATTCACTTCAAAAGAATTAATCGGCCCGACCAGCCCTTGGCGGTATCACCCGGCAGGGACTGACCCCGCGTTCGGGGAGGAGCCCCGCTAGGCCCCCGGGAGACACCCGGTCTCCGGTGCGGTCAGGTGGGCAGGGCTGCAGCCGGCGGAGCCCGTGTTCTGCAGCCTCGGTCCCAGGAGGCACATACCAATACTTCCAAGTTTACGGAGACACACCTTCTAGCCCAGCATCGCGTCTGTTTTGTCCGCGGCTTCACGCGCGCTTGAAAGAGCAATTCAGTCAATTTAGTAAATGGGGTTGTTCGAATTTCCTCCATAATTATGTCTCTTTCCCTGGTGGTTCTATTGATTACCGAGAGAGCTGTGTTAAAGCCTCCAACTAGATTTGCTGATTTCTTGATCTCTCCTTTTAATTCGGCCAGTGTTCGCTAAGTATATTTCAAGCCGCGTCGTTAGGTTCATATACCTTTGGGGCTATTGTGTCTTCCGCCTGAACGGGGCCCTCGATGGTCATGAAGGTGACCCTTCACCTCCACACTCACTGGGACCACAGTCTCACCACACAGACTTGCTTACGGTTATGTTTGCACGCTACGTGCACCTCCCATTTAAACACTGTCAATATACCTTTAAATAGCAATGGTTAGGTTTTTAAAAAATTTGGTCTGGCAACTTATTTAGGAGTTTTTTAGTCTATATTTGATATAATTATTGGTATGGTTGGATCGAAATTTACCGTTTGCTATCTGATTTCTGTTTGTATTGTCTGTCCTTTGTTCCCTTTTCTCACTTTCCTGCTTAGTTTGGATAAAGTATTATTTAAAAATATATTTTACTTCTGCTATTGGCTTCTTAGTTCTACATTTTTGTTTCTTTGGGGGCTTAGGATACACATCGATCCTATTCTACTTTCAAATCCTCGCAATCCTCGTGCACACGGTCTCGACGTGCACAGTCCTCGTGCACACGGTCTCCACGTGTATAATTCTTGTGCACAGGGCCTCCACATGCACAATCTCGTGCACAGTCCTCATGCACGGGGTTTCCATGTGCACAGTCCTTGTGCACAAGGTCTCCACGCACACAGTCCTTGTGCACAGGGTCTCCACATGCATAATCCTCATGCACAGGGCCTTCACATGCACAATCTCGTGCACAGTCTTCATGCACAGGGCCTCCACGTGCAAGTCCTCATTCACACAGTCTTCACGTGCATAATCCTCGTGCACACGGTCTCCACATGCATAATCCTCGTGCACAGGGCCTTCACATGCACAATCTCGTGCATAGTCCTCATGCACAGGGTCTCCCCGTGCACAGTCCTTGTGCACAAGGTCTCCACACGCACAGCCTTGTGCACAGGGTCTCCACATGCATAATCCTCGTGCACACAGTCTCCACATGTATAATCCTCGTGCACAGGGCCTCCACGTGCACAGTCCTCGCGCACAGGGTCTCCACGTGCACAGTCCTCGTGCACAGGGCCTCCACGTGCACAGTCCTCGTGCACAGGGCCTTCACGTGCACAGTCTCCTGCAGAGGGCCTCCACGTGCACAGTCCTCGTGCACAGGGTCTCCACGTGCACAGTCCTCGTGAACAGGGCCTCCACGTGCACAGTCTTGTGCACAGGGCCTCCACGTGCACAGTCCTCGTGCACACGGTCTCCATGTGCAGGCCGTGGAGGTTTCCTTTCTCTGGATGCTCGGACAGTGGTCTCTCTGTAAGTGGCCTTTGTTTGTTTCTTACAGTGCGGCTTGCTGTATGTTAGGGTTACTCTGTTTGTGGCCTCTTGTGTTTCTTGGGTGCCTGAGTATACAGATTTGCAAAACTCCTGGCTGTTATCTTGTCAAGTAATTTTTTTTGCTCTGACATTCCGTTCCAGGACTCCATCACAAGTGACAGAACACTGAATGTTTCCTTCTGATTTTGGCCCGTGTGTCCCCGGGACCGTACACTGCTATTTCCTCGAGAATACTTTCCCCAAAGGGTCTGGTCTCTGGAACTCGGTCCAGGGCAGGACACACGGGGTGGACGGCGGCTGCCTCTTCTCCCAGCCAACGCAGCGTGTGGACACCTGCGCAGGGCGGCCCTGGAAGGGGACTGAGACGAAGCAGAGTTGGTCAACCGGGAGCCCCCCCCGGGGGCCGATGTGGTCACACTGGTTCCCCCTTGACAGAAGCAGGTCCCGGACATGGCCCCCGAGGTGCTGCCGCTCCCTGGAGTGCGGCCGATCACCCTGGATCCTCCTTCACCGAGGGAGGCCGTGTCCTCATTTTAATACGCTCCTTCCAGGGATGCGTTTGTCTCTCTGCCCTGGGCACCTCTGCCAGCACCGTCTGCACACTTAACCGGGGGCTTCCTTCCGCACGGCGTGTCGTGTGCGACACTAGGGGCGGGGCTTTGCCAAAGGAAGCCCGGGCGTGCGTGCGCTAGCACCCCTGCTCTTACCGAGCTCCCCCCGCCCGGAAGCAGCTGGCCTTGCTGGACGAAGGAGCCCCGAGGCACCAGGACCCGGCCCCGGGGCGGCACCCGTGATGTGGGTGTGTCCCAAGGGCTGTTTCCTAGCAGGAGACACTCCTGTGACCCAGGCAGGGCGGCGGCTCTTCTGACACCTGGTAGTAACGGGGGGGGGGGGGG